GTGGAAGCAAGGGATTTTGCAGAAAGGAGGGGGGGGGGGGGGGGGGGGGAAGAGGGGAATGTTAATTTGGTCACTGTAAGACAAAAAGTCTTACAAAAATGAAACACAGGACACCAGAATAGCAGTAGTCTCTTCTTGCACTGCAGTATTTACATATTGCAGCTCTTAAATTTATGTTAAGATTAACATAAGGTTTGACACCCTTCCCATAGACAAAAAAAATCAACTTTCCATCTTCTAAGAAACAGCAACAAGAGAAATGCCATTACATACAATACCACGTCCCCATCTGCCTTTAATGATATAACCACTACCAGTTGCAGACATGAGTTTGAACAAGGTTTTGAATGAAATGTACTGCATTTGAAAACCTATCCAAGTTTATCCTAACCATACAGGAGGCCTAATAAGTGTCACCCATGAACAAAAATATGTAGTTAGCCACATTAAGCTGAAGCCAAGTAGAAAACAGGGTAGATTTGTACCTTACAGAGCAGTGGCGCTTAACCTTTTTAGATTCAAGTTCCCCTTCCATAATGTTTCTGAATTGAGTACCACCCTATTTACAAAAAGAGAGAAAAAACCCCCAAAACTTACTTATTACAGAGTTTATTCTCCTTCCAGAGAAGTCAGACATTAAGTCAGGGGACTGGGCCTGAGCTTATTTTTTCACACTTCTTTACACCCTTCAAAGGATCTCCCATCACCCTGGTTGAGAACCACTGTTAACAAAAATAGGGACACACACACACACACACTCTCTCTCTCTCTCTCTCTCAAGTGAGATTCAGCTCATGAAAGCTTGTACTACATATATGAAGTAAGCTTCAGCTCATGAAAACTTGTGCCATACACATTCATATGCATATGAAACCTACTTTGGTTAGTCTGCAAGGTGCACATCTACCCTGTCCTCCAATAAAAGGCATCACCCACAGAAAATCCTTACCTTTATTTCCTGAACCATCATGACTAACAACAACAATCCAATACCACCAGCAAGTTAATTGGCTTATCAAGAATCCTAGCTACCAGTGCCCTGTAAAACCAAAACCAAAGCCAACTTCAGCAAGTTTATTTCTGCAAAAAAAGGTTGCTGCTGCACCAGAGATCCTTTCTCCTCTCAGGCTCAGCCTCACTTGCAGAAGTATTTCTCAGCCTTGAAGCATGTGAGCTCAGCTCAGCAAAGCTCGTGCTCCTCAGCTCCCATGTAGTTGGTCTGTAACAAGAGCTGTCAACCTTTGGAGGTGCCTGGACTCTAGAAAAGTCACAGAATCCTACAACAGGAGGGACCTCACCAGGGCACTTAGACCAACCCCTGTCTCCAAGTAGGACCAGCCCCAACTGCATCATCCCAGCCAAGCCTGTGTTTAGCCAGGTGTTAAAAGCCTCCAAGAATAGAGACCGCACCACCTCTCTGGGTCACCTGTTCTAGTGCTTCACCACCCACCCGGGGAGAAAGTTCTTCCAAATACCTGACCCAACTCCCTCTGGCCGCCACCCAGGCAGACGGGACGTTCCCGACGCTGTCACTGCACCCGCAGCGCAGGACGAGACGGCCCGCCCCTCTGGGCCAAGTGCTCGGGCACCGCCTGCCCCCGGGGCAGTCCGGGGCCTGTCTTGCAGGCGTCTCCCGCGCTCCGACCGGGCCGAGCTACGGGGAGGAGCCGGCTCCAGCTCCTGGGGCAGCTGAGCCCCGGCCCCACTCGCACCACCCCGGAGCCGCACAGGCCAAGGCCCGCGCGGGCAGGCCCCAGCCGGCCGGACACAAAGCGGGGCCGGGGCCGGGGCCGAGCCGCTCGTCCCCCGCGTCACGCACAAAATGGCGGCTGCGGGGGAAGGGGGAAAGATACGGGCAGGGGCAGGAGCCTCACCTGGGCCCCGGCGGTAACACCAGCAGCTTCTGCGGGTTTATTTGGCGGCGGCGGCAGCTCCGGGAGGTCAGAGTTCGTGACCCCACCCCGCCCCGCCGGCGCATGCGCGGAACGAACCCGCGGCGCTGCGCTGTGCTCGGAGCCGGAGGAGGCAAGAACAGCGCCAGGCCCGCGGGGGGAGGGGCGGAACGCGCCGCTACTTGCAGGAAGGGGCGGAGCCTGAGACGGGCCGAGCGCGCGTGCAGCCGAGGGGCGGGGCCCAGTGGTCTCCCCGCCCCTGCGCCTGGCCCCGCCCACTTCCGCGTCGCTGTCACGTGCGAGGTGAGCGCTGTCGCCGCAGCCAGTGGCCGGGGGAGAGCATCAGGCGATGTCAGGTCCCCGCTCTAATCCGCCCGGGGCTAGCACCAGCCCCGTCCCTCTGCGACTGCTCCGTAGCCCCCGGACGCAGAAGTGGAGGCAGCCTTCAAATAGAAATCCCAATCCAGCGCTTTATTAAAATATAAAAGGAGCTTCATTTCCGACACGAGCGGCTGCCCATGGAAGTCCCCCAGGCGGGGGGGGACGACAAATGGCCACAAAGCAGCGTGTTCAGATAAACCCGTCTGCGCTGCGGCGGCAGAACAGGAGCGCACGGACCGCGGCCTCCTCACAGCACTTCCTGGTTCCCGACTCAGGCCTGGCAGCCACTTCCTGCGGCCGAGCCCGGCAGCCCCGCCCCTCGACGGGCTCCCCGCCGTTGGCATTGGTCACAGTCTTGGGACCAGAAGTCCCGCCCCAACCCCTGGCCTCTGCCACCGGAAGTGCCCATCTTACCCCGGAGGTACTCCGTTTAGGAAGGGGCTTTGCTGTCCTGGAACTGGGGAAAAAACAGATTATACGCTAAAAAAATCAAACATCCACAATAACATAATTTTCTTTTTAAAAAATATTTTTGTCCTGAGGTGTACAGGTGATTGCATAATAGGTCAACATTAAGCCTTACTCGTGTTGTGGGGGTGTGGATGTGGGTGGGTATGGGGGGGTT